GCGGCGCTCCCTCAGTATTGACCCTCCGACAGTGCGGCGCTCCCTCAGTACTGACCCTCCGACATCGCGGCGCTCCCTCAGTACTGACCCTCCGACAGTGCGGCGCTCCCTCAGTACTCACCCTCCGACAGTGCGGCGCTCCCTCATTACCGACCCTCCGACAGTGCAGTTAAAACTCGAGTGAATTTGGGAATGTTTGCGTATTAGCGTCCTTGGAGATTACCTGAAGAAAAAGTGGATTTAGAGATCTTGTGCAAAGAATTAAATTGAATTGGGAAGTGTGCATCAGGACGGATGAGAATTAGGGATTGTGTGTAAAAAGGGTGGGCAATTAGGGAGCTTGTTGGAAGACGGAGAAGAGCTGGGGAGTGTGTGTAAAAAGGGAATGGAGTTCGAGAGTGTGTATAAAGAGGGGCCAGTGTTTGGGAGCATGTGTAAAGAGGGTGGTGAATTTGGGAGTCTGTATAAAGAGGGTGTGGGATTAGGGAGCGTGTGTAAAGAGGGACCAGAGTTAGGGAGTGTGATTAAAGCGGTAACAGGGAGACTGTGTGAAGAAGTCGCAGAATTGGGGAGTACGTGTAAAAAGGGAAGAGAGTTAGAGAGTGCGAATAAAGAGGGAGCAGAGTTAGGGAGCATTTGGAAAGAGGGTGGGGATTAGGGAGCGTGTGTGAAGAGGGCGCAGAGTTAGGTCGTGTGCGCAAAGATGGAGCAGAGTTAGGGAGTGTGTGTAAAGTGGTAACAGTGTTAGGGAGAGTGTGTAAAAGCAGAGTTAGAGAGTGTGTATAAATAGGGAACACAGTTGGGGAGGTGTATAAAGAAGCTGGGATTTAGGGAGCGTGTGGAAAGAAGGAATTGAATTGGAAGGTGTGTATGACAAGACAGTGATTTACAGAGTATGTGTGAAGAGTGAGGAGTTTAAGGAATGTGTGTAAAGAAAAAGTTTGTGTAAAAAGGGTAGGAATTTATTTTATTCAGTCACAAGATGTGGGCATCTCTGGCTAGGCCAGCAGTTATTGCCCGGCCCTTAATACCCAGAGGGCAGTTAATTGTTAGCCGATATTGCAATGCAGAGTTGACACATCCCCAATAATTAAAACTGAAACACCCAGAGAGTACCGTATGCCCTATAACCTGTTTAAAGGAGTGTGAGAAGGGGTATAATCTGTTTTATCAGCTAATCCTACTGGTTAAGTAAGGTAAACCCCTGGCACTCACTTTACAATCAACAAGTTACAATTTATTTATCCAACTCTAACAGTGAGAAAATTAACTAAATTATTAACAAACTGAATAAACCCCTTCTAACTCCTAACTATTCCGGAATAAAATAAGATGCTAATGGTGTGCTGTTCCAATAAATACAAGTCCCACTTATATAAAATTTTTAAAAACACACAGACTTTAGTGTCTTGAAATTACAGTTACTTGTCTTCCGGAATGTTCTGTGCCTTCTCCGTCGAATGTTCTGTCAGGAATATTAACTAGTTGTGCCATAGGTACCTTTGATTTAGATGGTGCTTTCTCTAAAACTTAGAGAAGACTGTGAGAGCCAACGATTCTCTCTTAGGGCTGAGAGACGTTAACTCTTGCAGATGGCAGTTTACTCTCCTATCTTTGTCCGACTGCCCCTACTTTTAAACCCCACATCAATATTCAACGTTTGATGTTTCGCCCGTAGGTGTTTAATGTTTACCCACAAATCCAAATCAATATTCCTTACAATAGGATTGGTCCTAAGTTGTCAAAACCATCAGATTTAAATTTAATTGTTTTCGGTATCAGGGTGCCTGGTACAAATTGATTGGCTAAATTCAAAACTTGTTGTCTTCATAAAAAAACAAAGCTGCTGCTGGGCCTGCAAACCGTACGGCCTTTTGGTGCAAGTGTTTCAAATCCGACAATCTTTTTGAAGCTCTGAGCATAAAAAAAAGCACATCGTCTTTTAAAGGGACCACGTTTTTTCACCTCTTGCTCCCCCACTACCCCCAGCATTTTTACAAACACCAATATTTTGCAAACACCAGGTTCAAACGTCCTGCGGCCCAGTCCAAAAATACTCTACCAAACTTCAAAACACCACATTGCTGTGGGTCGAGAGTCACACGTAGGCCACACCAGGTAATTTCAGATGTCTCCTTACGTAAATCAGTGAATCAGCTGGACTTTCTGACAATACATTCGTGTTTGTCATCAAACCCGTAATTCCACACATTTGTTGAATTCAAATTCTACAGTTAGTCTTGGTAGGATTCAAACCAGAGTCCCCAGATTATTTTCTGAAGAAGGGTCTAGACCCGAAACGTCAGCTTTTCTGCTGCACTGATGCTGCTTGGCCTGGTGTGTTCATCCAGCTCTACACCTTGTTATCCCCAGATCATAAGCAGGATCTCTGAGTTAACCTCCGAGCAGAAACAGAACTGCAAGACTGAGTTAGGGACCAAATGTAAAGGAATGGAATTCAGGAGTTTGTGCAACTAATAGTGGTGACTGAGGGAGTGTCGTTAATGAGGGATTTGTCGGTGGGTTCTCACCAAACAGCAAGTGGAATTAGGGACAGTTTGTAAAGAGGATTGGAATGAGGGAAAATGTGTCACGAGGGAAGGGAAATAGAGTGTTTTCAAAATGACAAGGGGACTAAGGGAAAGTGCGTAACTAACAAAAGGAAAAAAAGAGAGTGAGTAATGAACAAGGGGTATATGGGAGAGTGTGCAATGATTAAGGGCAATAACCGAGCATGTGTAATGAATAAGGGAGCGTGTGTAATGAGTAAGGGAGCGTGTGTAATGAATAAGGGAGCGTGTGTAATGA